GACTGGCAAATGACAATCCTGTAACCTTAGCACCTGCAAACAGATCTACAGAGATGAGCCCTCACTTCCTCCCTTGGTACCAGTTCTACCAATGATGCCACTTCAGTTATTTATGTTCGGGGCCCGTGTTAGACATTTAATTTAGTTTAATTTTTACTTTATTGCAGTCTTCACACCATCCTATCAGTTAGATCTTATAGATGAGGAAATTGTGAGATTTGGGGCGATTAGAACCCAAGTCCACACCAAAGTGGCAGCTCCAAGCTTCAAACCCAAGCTCTCTTAGTTGCCAGCTCAGCTGCTCAGCCCTGGCATTCAAGGAGTCTGTGGCTTGCCATCAACTGAGTTCTCTATCTTCGTTGCCATGACTACCTCTGAACATCTAAATCCACTCAAGCTTCAGCTAAACTCTTCTGCTTAGAACCCCGAGTCAAGCACTGGTCTCCAGCTGGAGAAGTTGTTTGTTTCATCGGCTCAGTGACATGTTAATCCTGTGACCTCGTACCAGTCATCTAAGCTCTTGAACTGTTCAGTCTTTCTTTGAGCAATGAAGAAATTGCACGGAGATATTTTAGATTCCTTAGAACTAGATTAAAAGTAAGCTTAAGAGCTCTAGATTGAGAGTTAAGCCAACGTGAACTTGTATCTCAGCGCTGCCTCTTGCTAGCGGCTGGAACGTGGGTGGGCTGTTTATCTTTTATGTTAAAAGTAAGCTTAAGAGCACTAGATTGAGAGTTAAGCCAACGTGAACTTGTATCCAGCGGCTGGAACGTGGGTGGGCTGTTTATCTTTTATGCACTTCATTGTTGCCATGTGTAAGACGGGCATAATAATTTCACCCTCCAGTATTCCCGTAAAGATTAAATACGATATGTGATCATATATAAAGGATGCTTAGTACAGGGCCCGGCATTTACACAGGATCCCCAAATAGCCCCGATAAATGGTGGTAATTATAAAAGGCTCCAGTGAAGGCTTTTAAACTTTATCTCTACTTGAATAAGTAAAATTGAACTGTTGCAGTTTTCTGGCCTGTTGCTAAATTCTTGACAGGAGAATATTGACACATTCGCCAATGACGGAAGCTTAGCCTTTCACCGAGGGCGACAGTGAGCGTGACCTGTGACCTCTAGAATCGTGACTGAGTTATTGCATCGCGTCGAGAAGTTGGGTAGGGTGGGGGCACTTCCACTTGGCTTTCCAGTGTCGTCGTGGTTCTCCTTGAGCAGGGTGTCCCATGACCCATTCAGCGATGTACACGCAGAGGAAGCTGGCAGACGGGACATTCTGGCATTTCAGCTTTCAGTGCCACACGGACATCCTCCTGGGGCGCTCACACAACACACAACATGGGATGATGGTCTGGCTTCCCACTTTATCAAGAAGGCAGCACCCTCTCTCTTCTATACACTCCGCACTGCTACATGTCCACGTCCAGCAGGGGGCACTCTTGCACCCCAAAGGCAGTCCCGTGGGGACCCCAGTTCCCACGTGCAATGAAGTGGGCTTGGCTCCTGGGAGTGAAAGTAACTTAGCATTTTCTAACTTGTTTAGATTTTAGCTGCTTAAATTTCGCTTTTTGTAGGGTCAGCCGTGGGCTGGCGACGCCGTTCCCTCAGTCCCGAGGGGATTTGTGTTCTTAGTGTTATACGGGGGGTGGGGTCGGGGAGAAGCTGAGGGCGGTGCTCAGCCAGGGGACCCAGACTCCCGAGATTCACTCACCAGACAGACCCAAAACGAAGGGCCTCTGGGCGGCGTCCACACGCGTGGCCCAGTGCCCGGATCCCGGTGACACGTGGAAGATCAAATGCTTTCCGTGTTACCGAATTCGCTCATTCGTCCATTAGTTGTTTCCAGATGTTCGTTCTTGTTCGGATCTTACGTGGATGCTCCACGTGAGACAACATCCTTACAAGCTTTTCCTTTTTCTTTTAAGGAAAACATTTACATCGCCTTCCCAGGAGGCACACGTATGGGCCTAGGGGCCCGAAAATAAACCTCAGATCACGGCCAACCTTTGCTATACGAGACGGCTCCGACGTGTTCTGTTCCATTCCAGTTTATTCCGTTTCATTAGCAAAGCTAGTCGATACCGATCACATTCATTCTGCACTTTCTGCTGGGTCACAGCCTGCAGTCTGAAAAACGCTCTGCCGAGGAAGTCTAGCGACTTTCCGTTTCCAGACTGAACCCTCTCGCCTCACACGGCTCTCGTCCCACGTCCCTGACTACGTGTTCCCTGGGTCCCTTGGGGCTTGCCTTCCCTCCAGCGCCGATGCTTCCCCAGGCCAGCCCTCCCTCTGCTCTTGATAGAATCTCCTCCCAGATATCACCTGTCCCCAGGACTCCGACTATGATTGCCAGCGTAGTGATCTGTAAGTGTCTATCCTCAACCCTGGATGCTCTCTAGAACCCCGTGTCTATACGTCCCGTAGCATCCCTGCTACTTCCGAGTAGTTCCGCGCAGCTTTATCCTCATCGTCTGGAGCTCAGCGTGTCTCAAAACCAAGTCATTATCTCCTCTAAACGTCCGTTTCCCTCCTTCGTCCGTTAGTGGCTTTCTTGTTCTCCCGTGAACCCTGGCTGAAGATTTCAGACCATCACGTGCTCCCTCGTTCTCCTTAGCTAGCCTGTCACCCAGTCTTGTTAATTCTTTGCTCACCCCCATGATCTCACGTTACCATCCTGGCCCACATACTCCCTTGATCAAAACAGTCAAATGGCTTCTCATTACCTGCGGAATTGGATCTGAACTCTTTAGAATTGTGTGGGCTGTGGCCTCACACCTCATGTCCATCATTGCTCTAAATGTACCCTATGTTGCATGACAGGTTGACACCCCCATTAGGAGCCGGAAGGAAATAAATCTTGTCTGATCACTCAGGTATTAGCCTCCCCTCTTTGACTAATGTGACACTTACCATGTGTTTCCTGCCAGGTAATGTCACTGCCTGGATTTATTTTTATTGGTCATGCTATCGCACCCTAAGGTATTTTGACATCTGGGAGTCACCTTGAATCTTCCTCCCAACATCAAAGAGTGACCAAGCCACATTGATGCTGTCCCCTACACCGCAGAGTCTCACACATTAACGAGCATGTGAATTATCTGTTAGAAGACCGGTTCTGATGCCCCAGGCAAGGGACGGGGCTGGAGAGCCTGCCTTTCTCTGTGGTTCCCAGGAAATGCAAAGCGCTCTTGGGAGACCCACACTCCGAGGGGCGGGACTCACCCTTCCCTCCCGCCTTCCCTCTCCCTTCTTCCTCCTTGCCACCCTTTTGGTTGGAGCCCTCGTCACCTCAGATTCTCCTAACGGGTTTGCCTGTTGCCCGTCCCTGTCCCATATAAAACGCTTGTCTCAGGGATAACTATGGTCAACTCCCCAGAATAAAAGTGCCACGCAAACCAGGAATGCGGTCGCCCTTCCCGCCCTGGCCTGCGGCTGAGGACGGGGCGCGGGGCT